AAATGCGAATCATTTTGTCTAGCTTAATGCAGATTGTGTTTTGTGAAGAACAAAATCTAATAACTACAGCTTATCGGCGAAATATGTCAAAATTTAAGTTTCCCAAATGATCATATATATTCTATCGGATTCTCATCCAACTTTCTTCATATAATTTTACTTATAAATTATTTTCTCAAACTTGTGTTCGTTGTCATTTGTTAATTTCGATCTCCCCGTTCTTTAGAGCTCGTTTCGTTGATCAGTTTTAATAAGTTATGAATTTGATTCTTATTGACCTATGTCAAAACAAAATTAATCTTACATGAATTTACCTTCATAAAAGTCCAAGCAAATCTCTTATCAACAGATTAATAGGGGAAGGGTTGGTTGGTTAAAGCCGATTGTCTATAGATGGGAAGGAATTATTTTTTTTAGTTATAAAACCACTATAGTAACTACCGGTAGTTATGATCACAATGTAAATACGATAAATATGTATATATAGAATAAATAAATACATACTTAATATATTAATCATTATTAATACTTAATGTATTAATCAAAATAACAAAAAATAATAGATTTCTTACTACTTTCTCACGCACGCGCTAATGTATTGTACTTCCTGTTTTTGTTCACAAGTGAAAGGCGCGCCACTACCACCAAGCGGTCACTTTGAGAACTAAGACTCGTTCCGCTAATCCCACAAAATTTGAAATATATCGCTGACGATTTGGAAGTTTTTTTTTTCTGCAGATTATTTTTTATTTTGCCTCCAGATTTTTTCCGTTACATCCGAAGTCCATTGATGAGGGGAGTCCGTAGATGAGAGGTTTGTCTGTATATATTCATCAAAGAAAATCTTATTCTTCTAATCCGGTCATATGTATACTCATGTTATACGTTGATATTCGTCTGACTCGAGTCCAGAGTATAGCGCAGATCGTTACAGATCTTGGAGTTATGGCGATCTCCCGCTGCTCAAACGTCTAGATCCCCATGCCAGTGTTGATGGTAATGCAGAAAGGAAGCGATAAACTAATACAGTTTGGTACACATACCGTACGCCATCCACTCACCTTCATGGCTCGAATCGGGATTTCTGAAAAACCTTTCTTCGAAAATACCGACAAGGCAGTGAAAATTATAATTCAGTTTTCCTTCTCTTAGAATGATAACCACCTAAGTAAATTTAGCTGAATCCGTAAAGTCAGCTATGCGTTTTCTAACAGCATTAGTGAGTATATGTGTTAAAAACTCATCATTCCTTCAGAGTTAAAAAGAAAACGTCATTCTTCTATGTACCCAGTCCGTTTAGGATGTTGGCGATCATGGCTCTCCACATTTTCCTCTTTTTTGTAGCTCTTAATAATTTTTCTCTTTTTTGTCATCTCTCCTAAACCCAGTATTTATTAAGGCTGACTTTGTTTTCCAGTCCGTCTTGCCTTCAATCAGTCCTGTGTGTATCATATTTTCTTAACCATCTTTCCTCGTTAATTGCCCCAGAAGTTCCAACAGTCTATTTTTGATGTTAAGTGTAAGTGTACTTATTACTTCCATTTTCTCTAAAACTTCATCGTTGATCACATGTTCGGTCCATGGTATTCTCAGCGTCTTTCTGTAGAAATGCATTTTTTCATACAAGTAACTGAACATAGTGTCTCGTGAGGAAACACAATCAATATAATGTGCTCTGACGTGGTTTGCGCACAAATGTGCTTTGTTTTAGAAAAGTAATGAGGAAAGTCGTGTTAGAAATTTTTGACACTCATAAGACAAAAGGGACAGAAGAAAGTAGCATATAACGTACCCTAAGGAAATTGTGTAAATGGTTGGCAGAATAGAGAATAGGAGAAATAGCGAAAAGACAAAATAGAAAGCTACGAAGAGCAAGAAATTGTGAAGACCTATGATTGGCGAAATCTTGAAAGGACAAGGCACATAGAACTTCTCAAAGTGGGCGATAACGTTCCTCTCCTTTAGGAACGCTCTGTACTCTCAAGGCTGGGAGCAGTTTATGTCGAATGGTGCTTTGAGAGTGGCTTATAATTTGAACAGAACAGTTAATTTATGTAAGTTTTTACATCTGCGGATATAGCTGGTGTTGTTCATGATGACGGTCGTCTTTGAGTATAGAATCCAGAGGTTAGCAGTGAATATTTCGAAGACAGTAGGAAAGCGTTGTTCAGGTTAGCAGTGGATATTTTGGTAAAAGGTAGCAGAGCATAGTTCGTCCTTCTGTTTCTCTTCGCCTGACAAGCTGGACTGGACATTCGGGTAGAGTAAACAAAATGGCCGCCTTTATACACGACGGATTGAATATTCTACGTCTTCTGATTGGTTAACCTTCTATTGGTGGACTATAAAGTGAGTCAAGTCATCTGGGCTAACTCACTAGTAGATACATATACACAAAAACTGCAACAGCTGGCCACTCTTATTCGAGGATACACGTCTATTAGGGCGGTTAGTCATTCCCAATTGCAGACGCTTGTCCAGGCGCATTTGTGTTTATTCAACATCCACAGAGCCTACCTGTGGTTTATACTGTAACCTTAGTTACAGCTTCTTGAACAAGGCCAGCACGCTCAAACCATCGGCAACTTCGGGCTTATAAGGTCTCCTTTCTGACAAATCGACCATGATGTGATTCGAACCCGGGTCTCATTGTCAGAATGCGAACGTTCTAACCACTCGGCCACGTGCCCATATCTGCGTAACGGTTATTGGTGCATAAAGTGGAATCAACAAGCCAAGTAAATATTACAGGTCTGTTCTGTTGCAATAGCTTCAACATTAATGCACTAAGGAAATACACGAGTCTTTCTCTTCTCGCCTCAGTAAAACCAGCCTAGAAAGACTAATTGGGTGGCATCCAGTCTAGTAGAAAAAAAAACTGCTCTAAATTCAAAACAGTGGACAAGGCAATGGAAAACAACGCCATTACCTTTCACAAGAAGCAATCTATCCATAATAAAGAAAACGAAATTTTGAAGATTCATGATCCTTTATGACTTAAAAATATGTCATTATAAATATTACATGTGTAGAAAATCGTTGAACTCTCACTGGATCATTTCGCATTTTATATGCGTCTTTGTTCATATTTTTGCCATTATATTCAGAAATTAATACACATTATAAATATCTATATGCAAATCCATTATTTGTGTGGAGCTAATAACCTGTAAAGACTGACAACCGCGTTGCTCCAGATCGGTGACCGCAGCTTGCCTATTCCCATCGCATCTAACATTCAATGGTAAACACATGATATCAACTGATCAACGCATCTAACATCCGATGGTAAACACATGATATCAACTGATCAACGCATCTAACATCCGATGGTAAACACATGATATCAACTGATCAACGCATCTAACATCCGATGGTAAACACATGATATCAACTGATCAACGCATCTAACATCCGATGGTAAACACATGATATCAACTGATCAACGCATCTAACATCCAATGGCAAACACATGATATCAACTGATCAACGCATCTAACATCCGATGGTAAACACATGATATCAACTGATCAACGCATCTAACATCCGATGGTAAACACATGATATCAACTGATCAATGCATCTAACATCCGATGGTAAACACATGATATCAACTGATCAACGCATCTAACATCCGATGGTAAACACATGATAACAACTGATCAACGCATCTAACATCCGATGGTAAACACATGATATCAACTGATCAACGCATCTAACATCCGATGGTAAACACATGATATCAACTGATCAACACATCTAACATCCGATGGTAAACACATAATATCAACTGATCAACGCATCTAACATCCGATGGTAAACACATGATATCAACTGATGAACGCATCTAACATCCGATGGTAAACACATGATATCAACTGATCAACGCATCTAACATCCGATGGTAAACACATGATATCAACTGATCAACGCATCTAACATCCGATGGTAAACACATGATATCAATTGATCAACGCATCTAACATCCGATGGTAAATACATGATATCAATGCAATTTTAATATAGAGGACGCAAATATCGGTAAATTGGTTCTAGGAATAAAAGGCTAAGAACGGTTGTTTTAGAGGATTAATAATATATATATTTTTTTACCTCTGAATATCACATTTCATGTTCAAAGAGAATAGAAGTCGGAGATTAAAATACCTTTGCAAGAGATGTGAATATACAATATCCCCTGAAGCAGTGACACTGTATACGCATTAATGAAGTATTTTGCTTAATACCGAAATTTGGACAAATTAAGTTGCACGTCCTTCACAGTGTGGAAGCGGTTCTGTTCAAACTAATTAGATGAAACAAAAACAACCAGAAATAAATAATTTACAAAAAAACAAAACAAAATAAAATAGGAAGGGTCGAAAACGGAGCCGGCAGCATAATTTATTGGATCGTTATAGTGAATGTTAGTTTGCCACAAGAACGAATGCTTTATTTGTTTCTTGTTTCTTCAATTCTCGTTGAAATTTAATTCAAATTTGGCACTAACCTAATCAGCAAGAGCATTTTACCGCGAGTTTATTCCTTTGCATTTTCATTTTATACAATTTAATTCCAAGTCATCTTTGTATTTTTGGCTTGCTTAAATGTAACCCATTTTCAGTTATATTTAATACTTTTATTATCATTAATATTATTGCAAATTGTATTAATTCGCCTCATTATTATTATTATTATTATTATTATTATTATTATTATTCACCATTTATTTTATCATTTATATAATTCATCATTGATATTATCATTCAAACTATTCAGCTGCCATTACATTTTGTATTCATTATTATCGTAATAGCCACTTCTTTATTATCGACGGGATTATTAACGTCATCTAATTTTGCTTGTTCCTTCGTACGTACGTTACGCCCTGGCAATACCTAGTAAATAATGGACTATTCCGTTTAGATCGTGAGGAAAGAGGAAAAATATATCAGAGACGCTGCCAAGAGAACTCATAACGTACAAATATTTTAAATGCCTTATGCGGTTCTGTCTATAGAAGCAAAGACAAAAGAAGAGAACATCAGGAGAAAGAGGCAGCGAAAAAAGACAATGTGGAAGGAAAAGAAGAGAGGTAAGAGAAACGGAGAGGAAGAAAGGAAAGAGGAAAAGAAAAGAAAGAGGAAAAGAAAAGAAAGAGGAAAAGAAAAGAAAGAAGAAAAGAAAGAGGAAAAGAAAAGAAAGGAAAGAGGAAAAGAAAGAAAAGAGGAAAAGAAAGAAAAGAGGAAAAGAAAGGGAGAGAGAAAAGGAACAAAAATGAATAAAAACAATGAAAAATGAGAAAACGAAGAAGAAAAGAAGAAAGGAAAGAGTGAAGCGAAACAAAGAGAAAAAAGAAGCTGATAAAAGAACGAAATGGATGTCATAATGCAAAAACTAATATGTCTGAAATTGAAGGCGTTAAGAGACGAGTGAGATAACGGATGGAGGAAATGAAGAGTATTCGTGGTAATGAAGTCGTTAGTGGTGGCCTACGGATATTATGAGACCCTGTGTTCTATTAATCACTGTTCATTATGTTAATGAGGGTCATTGGGGACAGGGAGAAAAGGCTGGTAATTGTGGGGGGGTGATGATATGCGGTTGGTTGGTTTGGCCATTTTGTTACAAACTTACAAGTATTAGACGGATACGCATACCCTGAGAGAGAAAGTGGGGCGGAAAGAAAGACTATTAAAGAGAGAATGAAAGTTCCGAAGTATGGAGCATATGTCTCTTTTGCCAAGAGTTTGGCTTAAAAAGACGGTTAGTAGAGATGTATTTGTGTATGTTAATTCTTTGAATAGCGACATAGAGTTCGATTAGTGAAAATGTGGGAAGGACTTTTACCAAACATCTGCAGTGCAGTCTGCATATTTTCTCTCTCTAATACACTCGATGCTCAAAAGTAACGGAGAGCTTTTTGAAATGTAGCCAATACGGCCAGTACACCATAGAAATGAAATACTTTTGTAGCTAACAGATTATTTCTTATTGTAGAAATAAATATGAGAGATTAAAGATAAATTAAAAACACAGCAGCAAAATAAAAAGAAGATAGATTCAAGTAATTAAAAATTGTAATTGAGACGAAAGTCAACATAAGCCTAGGAATCATTATGACTATTATTATTTTCAAGGAAGCTTATATCTAAAAATATAAATTTATGAAATTAAAGAGGCCTCTTTATAAAACGATTTTGTTTAAAGATATCCACGAATTTGCCGAAAAAAAATAGCATGCAATAGTAAGAAAAATGCCCCAAACTTGCCGAAAAAACTAAGTTCCATCGTCAAATCAAAATCTTTATGTTATTATTAAGTGGAAAGAGAAACAAAGGAATGAACAAAGTAACTATAAACAAAATATTGGTGACGGCATTTCGGATACCCCGTGGCGGTGTAATGGTTAGCAAGCTTGTCTCGCTAGGACAATTACGACTGAGTAGTGAGTTCGATCCTCATTGGGTGCCCCATACTTTCGGCCTTGTGCCACATATAAGCTACGTTTGGAAAATCACTACTGGTGACGCTATTTTTCGTTCACGACACAAGTAATTTTCAAAAGTTTGTATTGGCGAATGCGCATGGCAAATAACAGTTGCTTATTTCAACATATTTGTCAGCTTTCAAAGAGGTAGAATAAAATAAAACATTTCCACTATATTCAGCACCCTCTACTCCTCCCCCCCCCGAAAAAAAATCGGAAAATTATATTTAGGAAGTCATTATCTAAGTTCAGAAGCGCCATAGCATTAAAAAAAAAATTAAGTATGGGAAAACAGATCTTTACATACTATTACATAGATATTAATTTTCGTTAACCATATAGCGCTGAAGCACCGAAGTTAAGCCACATCGATCCTGATCAGTAGCTAGATGGCTGACCGCTTGGAAATGGTTCAGAATTGTAAATCGGAGGGCCGAGCTCCAATTTTAGTTCGTTTCGTTATATTCACTTACGCTCTTGCCTTGGGAAAGTTGCAAATCCATCTCTTCTGCCCTCTGCTATGTGTTAAGAATCATATCACTAAATCGTTAGTATCTCCGAAAAGATTCTTACAATCTAAGAATATTTTCTGGCTTTAAATAACCTGGAAAGGGTTGATAAAACGTAGAAAACGAATTTAAGAAAGATCAACCCACTTGAATAAAATGAAGCAGATGACAATGTTGAGATTAACAGTTTCCATACAGAAAACATTCAAAATTCATTGAAGAAACAGTTAGAGTTCTCATAAAATAGTTTTTCATGAAAGTAGACTTCTCAAAACCTCCAGTAGCTGTTATCAATCTTTCTAGTATTGATGGGAGTTTCTTTCCAAACCTTTTGTTTAGGGGAGTGTGGAAAGCCAACATTAATGATTATATCCTTATTTCCGCTTCTAGATACAGGTGTTGCCCATTTTTGTTGCTGTTGTCTTCAAGTGACGTAATTTATCGTAATTGATAAAGATCTTTGTAGGTTATAGTCGTAAGTAGTTTATTTTTCATTCGGTTGATGCCATTTTTAATCATTGATTTATAAAGTCGATTACTCTTATATAGGAATGAAGTGTCGCTGCCGACACTGGGGTTTGAACACAGATCACCAGAGAGCAAACACCGGCGATCCCATTTTGAATAAGTAGATCACGTGATGGAAAATGAAATGTATATATGGGAATTAGCTTGGCGTCTAAGTGATCACTATCTGAATTACTTCGGAGGTGTGCTTGTCGAACTCTCTACCTTTGGGCAGAGAGGAACCCAGACGGTGCTATGCCAAAGGGCAGAGTCTCGTCTGGGGTGGTAGACAGCTAACCGACCCCGTTTTTTACGGGATCTACGGGGAATTCTAGCCCGAGCCTACAGGCTCGGATACACCACAATAAGCGCGTCCTTGTGCCACATCTGACCGCGTGGGGCGGTTAGTGAATATCATCACTATCCGGATTACTTAGGAAGTGTGCTTGTCAAACTCTTTGCTTCCGGGCAGAGAGGAACCCAGACGAGGCTGTGTTGAAGAGCATAGTCTCGTCTCGAATGGTAGACAGCTAGCCGACCCCGTTTTTTTACGGAGTATACGGGGAATGTTTAACCAATCCTACGGGCTCGGATACCACACAATAAGCTCGGCTTTGTATCACATCCGACCGCGTGCGGCAGTTATTGATTATATCACTATACGGATTACTATTCAAGCGAGTATTATCGAGCAAATACTATTAGTACGAGTGTTATTCAAAGGCGTCTGGCACTAGTATTGTTCAACCATAGTTGTATCTACGATTACAACGAGCATTCGACGACATCACAAAAGTGGCAACGAGTGTTCGTTGACATCACAAAAATTACAATTCAACTTTTGATCGAAGAGGGTTGAGAATTTTTGCAAACTACTAATAAAGATAAACACGCGATCAGGAAAACTTTGATGTTCTGCTTTTTGCGCTACAAGTATTAATATAGTTAGGTAAATCATTCGTTCGTGCAGTGAGTTTGTTTAGCACTGGGTACGCCGAAACTGTTCTTGTATACAAGATTTATAAAATGACTAGCCACATATTTGTTGCGTTTTCTCAATGCTGGCAGAAGTTGGACTTTCAGTCCAGATTGGACTTAATATCTCGAATACTGATTTTCAAGGCAGAAAAGTCTTCCAAACATTGATGACTGGTAAATCCTATTCTCTAAACCATTGTGATTGAAACTTATGCATGCCCCATAATTTTAAGAAAGCAGCGTTTGAGATTGGTTAAAAGGCTCAATGGCGAAAGCTGAATTTTAAGATAGGCCCTTGTTGCTGAGAAGAAAGATGTCCTGCATTCGTTCTATTTATGCTACCTGTGCTAGCAATTTTCAGATTATTTTTTTTTTAAACTGAGTCAATTTGTTTATTAATGTTCTTTGGAAATGTGAGAACAGTTTTTGGAGAGCTTGTGTAAAAACGCCATAAAAGCTATAAACACAAAAACGTATTTCTGTTTTAACAATAAATTATCCGTTGGTATTACAAGTTTTTATTCTTTTTAATTCAACTTCACCAATGGAATCAAGCGCTTTAACAAAAATGTATTTCGTTTAAATCTTATTCGTTCTTAGAGAAGCTATTTATATATTACAAGAATGAACCATCTTTATCGCATTTAAAATTTTCTCTGGTCAAGAATGCCATTAAAACTGGCAACTGACTAGTCATCAAGAAACCTTTACTGTTTGTTTAGTATTAGTTCTTAATATTTTTCTCCAAATGGATAATGTCATTACTAATGACTCATTAACATCAAATTTAAATGGTATATCATAAAACCGATCATGTTTTCTGAGCAACAGCAAATTAATTTAAATGATTTAACATGACTATTCACGAAATCCAACTAGTTTTAAACTCGCCTTCTAGGTTTTAGAAAAGTTGACGTGTGAATTTCTCCCAAATTTTGTTAATCATCTGCGGTAAATCCTGTCTAGAATGCCGCGTTTCTTTAACCGAGTCTAATGGGACATTTTGCAACACGTTCATTCATGATTGATTGAATTTGGTTGAATTTTATGTTTGTCTACCAAATTAATATTTTTTTTATAAAAATAACATTATATATATATATATGTGTGTGTGTCTGTGTGTGTACATATATATATATATATATATATATATATATATATATATATATATATAAAACATTCTCAAATGATGAGCGGTTCTAGACACGACACACGAACCCTGATGTCTCTTCATCACTGGGAGTTATCAAACTCCACAAAAGTAGTCAATTATTATATCCGTGTTGACCATGTTTGCCGTAGTCTCTGAATATGGAATCCAGTGAAGTCCGTAATCTCTTCGATATCAGAGGTTGGCAGTGTAGATTCGGAGAAAGTAGCGGCTGTTAATTCGTTAGGTCTTCGATATCAGGTTGGCAGTGAAGATATTTTGGGAGAAAAAACAAAATGGCTGCATTTATACACGTCGCATTGAATATTTTGAGCTTTCTGATTGGTTAACCCTTCTATTGGTGAACTATAAAATGAGTCATCTCATTTTGACTGGCTCACTCGTGCATATATCCTACAAACTGTAACAATCCGTGATGAATTTGAAAAGACAGCGTGCAGAATGTTCAATACCGCTAACTTTCACGAAGAACTGCATTCATTTCGAACCAAAAAATCCAGTCCCCTACCCGCACACACAAAAAAAAACCCGGTTTCATTCTGAGATACCCTTGGACTTTCCAAACTGAATTTTAAGAAATTGGCTCTGTTAAATCTTACCAGGGTTTCTGTGTGAGATAATGAGGCTAGTCTGGTTAGGCATGATTATTGATTAGTCAGTTTGAACCACAGGAGGCGCCAAATACAAAATTGGACATTAAATAACACAAAAGGAGTTGATATGTAAATATCAACCAAACTAAACTAAATATTCGATTTCAAATGGAGTTTTGCCTCCTTCAGCCAGTGTTTGTAGTTACGATTTTGAAAACATATTTTAGACACTGGGGACGAAACGTTCTTCTTGCACAGTGAGGGATACAGTGACTATAAAAGTTTAAATAAAATACCAATAATAACGTCCTAAATTTTTGTAGGACATTTCTTCAGGCAAGACATTCAGTTAATTTGTACTTGTAGTCTAGTTATTTATTAATCTACCGATGGCCAATCAGGAAGATTATTTAGAGAGTCAATCTCTGCGTGTTTTTGGAAAATGAGTGAAATCCTCACCACGTGTTGATCCAAGCATTTTGAGTGAAACTGGATAGACGAAATTGTTCGTCGGTAGTTGTGCTAGCAGGAAGTTACAAGTCATCGTGAGCGAGTGTTTAAGCGGACTGGCCTTGTTTAAACTAGTGATCACTCTAGGCGAAACTGTACATAAGGCTTGCTCGGTAGAGTTTCAGTATAAACAAGTGGGTGGGTTCAGGGTGTTGAACAAATAGATCTGCCTCAGCAGACGTCTGCAACATGGACTGTTCAGTCTCCCTAGCTAACAGGCATATCCGGATAGGAACGATCAGACATAATCCTCGCCGCAAACCTATGTGTCAGTATGAGAGATCGCTTTCGATTTAGTTTCAACCCTTGTTACAAGTCGATAAACCAAAAGAAAATGAATCTAAGTTCACATATCAATACAATCAAAGTAAGCATATAATAGCCTTTTTATCTCGGGACCGATTGCCTTAATTGCTGATCCCATAATAACCATTTTCCTATTTTTAATACATTTTGAGATTAATTTCAATAGTAAAACTATTAGTAATTGAAACAAAAAAACTATGAAAATTGATATGCAGAATTTCTTTTCATTTTTCCTGATACAGAAATAGTACAACTGTGTTAGTAACAGTTACACCTCAGTATCGTGAGGGGACTTATCGCCTAAACACACTGAAACACTGGTTCTTGTTTGATCATCGGCGTTAAGCAGTATTGAGCTCGATTAATGTTTAGATAAGGGGCCGATCGGGAATAAAACCGATTGGACATGTGCCTACAAACTTCATCCTGTAAAAACTTAGCTGTTACAGAAACCATAGCAACAGGGCCTACTGTTGTTCAGATATACGGCCCATACTCCTCAGCGGAGTCTACAGGACTTGAGACAAAGATAGATAGATAAATATAGATAGGTAGACAGGCAGATAAATATATATAAAGAGAGATAGATAGCGATAGAGAGATAGACTGATATAGATAGAGAGAGGTAGACAGAGGTATATAGACAGAGATAGGCAGGTAGAGATAGATAGAATCTTGATCAAATACACTAGCTTCGATTAGATAATCCGAAGGGCTTGAGTACTCATATGAAGTTCAAATACAGCCAGCGTTAGGATTTGATAGTGAATAACATTTTGTCTTTCTACTAAATATCCCGTTTGAATGAATAAAAAGTAACCTATATGTTGAATAAATCATATCCGTGATATAATTTCTTTTATATACTATTGCGTTTCAGTAAATAGCTGATCATGGTTCTCCTATCTTCTTGCTGCTCTATGTCGCTTTTAACTCGTTACCATCTCTCTTTAACCTTGTTCATCCGTTCAAACAAATTCGTTAAGTAGGTTACACGTTTCCAACTCCCTGCATCTCTTACTTTCATTATGCCTTGTGAGTGTAAAATTCTGCTGACGCTCTATCTTCATGAGTTCCTGAAATTCCATTTGTCTCGTTCTGATTGTAAGTATATTTTTCTTCCTTAGAATGTTTCTCCGCCTATGGCATTTTCCACATTCGTAATTAGTACCTAATCTTTGGGGTTTGAAGTCACTTCATCTATTGAAAGAATTGCCGAATGCAATGCCATATACGGAATCTATGATTTAATACGTTACTGAAACTAGTTATTGTACTTTTTTTTATTTCGTTGGAAAACTTTTATGACTACGTTCATAATAGCGAGGCGAATGCACAATGCCTTTTTTGCCTCAAAATCCATTTGTTAAAGAGCTCCAGACTGTTGTGGGGAAATACATGACAGATTATACTTAGTTAATGAGCCCCACCAACGGGTTGCGGGGGAAAAAACTCTTGACCTCCCAGCCTCTTCTACCGATCACCAACGAACGGGTTTCTGCACACAATAACATTCGTGCTGATCTATTGTGTTACATGTGGCTTGCGACGCTTGATTGGGTTTAACATTAAGCTTTCATGGGGACTTTCCGGTAAAATAGAAGCTTACTGGCTGGCCTCGGTGACTGCGACGCAGTCATAGAGAAACTTCCGGTAGATTGGTTGAGTGGAGATATTCTAAAGTCACCATGGCGACATTTTCTTTTCATCGGGAGTGCACTGTCGACAAGTGACAGCAGAGAACCAACAATAGGCTGACGTGGGTAAAACGAATGTTTTTGCCGTTCGTTAGTTGTACGTTATCAGCCATTAACATTAGTTATTGACATTTACTTGTGTTAGGGTTAGGTATAGTTAAAGACATTGTATAGTTGTCTTCTTTTCCTCTTATAGAAGTAAGTAAGATAAATAAAAATCTAGTTTTTTATTTCATCTAGAATGCAGGTGATGTATACGAATAGAGCGTCCAAATTTGAACTTACACTCTTCAGTAAAATGTTACTTAGATTTAATGCGCAAATATCAGTTTTTGTTGCAAGATTTTGGGCTCAAAAGATATTTTGTTAGAGATGTCGTGTCGTAATATTGGTTGAGAGTGAACGCATCTGTTGAAAAGAACGAGCAACGGACATCCAATCACAAAACTAAAATCTTTCCTAACTTCAAAATTTAAAGCCTCAACCAATTGGTCAATGCAGATTAATATCGTTATTATTATAAGGTGAAGGAGTAGGAGAAAGAGAAGTTGAAGAAGAAAGAGGTTGAAGAAGAATGAGAAAGAGAAGTTGAAGGTGAAGGTGTAGTTGAAAGTGAAGGAGAGAGAAAGAGAAGTTGAAAAAGGAGAAAGAGAAGTAGAAAATGGAGAAAAAGAAGGGAAAGAAGAAAAAGGAGAAAGAGGAGGGAAAGGAGAAAAAGGAGAAAGAGAAGGGAAAGGAGAAAGAGAAGGGAGAGGAGAAAAAGGAGAAAGAGGGCAAGGAGAAAAGGAGAAAGAGAAGAGAAATGAGAAAAAGGAGAAAGAGAAAGGGAAGGAGAAAGATAAGGGGAAGGAGAAAGAGAAGGGGAAGGAGAAAGAGGAGACGTTGAAAGAGAAGGAGAAAGACAAGTTGAAGATGAAAGTGAAGAAGTAGTTGAAGGTGAAGGAGAATATGAAGAAATTCTAGGACTAGAGAGATTTATTCCCGAGAAGTCTATTTTAATAAATTATACGCGATAGGTTGGCGGCAAGATCTCACCATTTTACATGACTAGGTGGAACCGTAAATTCTATGATAACAGTTATTTTCTTGCTTATGGAACTCTCTTCCGTCTTGTTGCTTTCCAGTCAAGCGTGAACTTCAAAATTTTAAATGCAATGTCAATCGTTGTCTTCTGTCTCCTTAATTTCTTTGCTTTTTCCCTCTCTCATCTTAATACTGTTTTTCTTTTTCTTATATTCTTTCATATTCAGAAACTCGCTGCGTCTTAGTGGCTTTGTTGTCTTGCTTATGACGCAAATGTTTAAGAATAAGAACGTCTCAACTTACAAACTTTTTTCCGAAATATAAAGCACAAAGCAACTCTTTTTGAGAGAAGAAAATCTATCTACATATCGATCTGTAAGTTAAATGTTTACTTGCCCGATCAGAGTTTTCTGAAATTATATCCACTCTTCAGGAGACTTGACGAGTATGTAATTACGCGAAACTGAGTAGATTTCATTTTATTCTTATATTAATGCTCGACTTTGGCAAAGAGCACGGTAATTAAAAAGGAAAACTGTTTGTCTTTGAAAACATTACCTTCCTGAAATAACCGTGTCTATTGTTTTTTGTTCTAGATGGACGTTCATCTCATGAAAATATTTATCTGCCGTTTGGCAGGGGGTTGCTTTTAATCCCGCTGGGTGTCTAGCTGCCATACTCGCTAAAAAAAAAAAAAAACTTGGTGTAGGAGCCAGTTTAGTCGCCGGCAACCTGACCAGGCAGAAGTTAATAGTGGGTTACAGAGGACACATGAACAGGACACACACACTATATATTACGATACAAATAAAATTTTAAGGTATGCTATATTTATGGGTAAAAGAGCTCATTATCAGGGAAAGAGCGTATGAAAATATAAAAGTAGACACTGAAGTCAACATTAACCGGTGACAGTGTTTCATGCTCAAACTCGATTATTGTATCTGAGCATGAGATGTTGAATTCAGTGTTCACTTTTATAATCTATGTACGTATGTAGGGGAGTGTGAAAACATTCAAACAATAATTAAAAAAAAAAAAAGTTTTTGTTTTGTCGTTTTTTGGATAGTTTTTTTTTTTTTTACAATAATGTATCCCCTGTACAAGGTATGGAGTTACTGATTCAAAGTTAAGAGGGACAGTTTATAATGATATTTGGGTAAGATAACGGTTATAGTAAAGCATACTCTTGGGACTTGGTTTCACAAAGTATCGGTTCGTGGAAAGAAGCCATTTCAAGTTAAAAATAAACTTACAAATATATATGTTCTTGTAAAAAATTGTAAAACTACATAAAAATATGAGTAATCAAAATCAACAATACGTGATTAAACACGTGAAAATAATAATAATAATACAAAAAGAATCTGAATTAAAAAAGGAAAAACAATCAAATATGTAAGCAAACTCGACAAAATTCTTTACGAAGAGAGAGAGAGAGAGAGAGAGGGAGAGAGAGAGAGAGAGAGAGAGAAACAAATAAAACAAAACAATCTTAAAAATAATTCTCCATATTAATTTTTCATAGTTACATAAATTGGCCATGAAATTTCCGACCGGGTCTGATAACTGGAATATGTTTTTTCTAATATACCTTTAAAAATGTTTTGGTGTGTGTGTGTGTGTGTGTGTGTGTGTGTGTGTGTGTGTGTGTGTGTGTGTGTGTATATTTGTGCGCGCATGCGCATTTTTTTTAATCATAATTCCGGCGCCGACGCGAGCGGGAGTCTTATTACAACAAACTTCCTTCCCTCTTGAGTATCAGTTGCCTATTTAACATGAGAAGCATCTTGCTTTATACATAAGTCGAACTTTATATTTCGGCAACAAAAAGAGAAAAATATCTAAACGACTTTCCGATGTTAATTCTATGGTTCATGTTCTTTATTCTCCGCACACAACCCTCAATCTCCTGCCAGGAAAATATTTAATCGCCAATTTAATACTGGTTATTCAAGATAAAGGAAACTGTGTGTAAGCCATCCACTGTTCTGAACAGATATTTCCATTGGATAAATTATACCATGGTTATGCTGTTTATATATGATATGAGACCAGCCCACATTTCTTACCTTACATAATACGAGCTGGTTGGCCGTCTTTGTATTCAGAGAAGTCACCTACTTTTCTGAAAAAACTCGGTTTTCCTGAAATAATAAGCTGTTCAGAAAGGAATGTTATATTTTGACATACGAAATAAAGTTCGTTTTTTTAACTCATATTCAGCCAATACAAAAAGACCTTCAAAATAGAGGATTACTAAATGAGGAGATAGAAATAGGAGCATATTATGAGGATACGTAGAATAGATAAAGGTTGACCCTAGATTAAAGAGATGAGGATTGTAGTAATCCGTTGGTTGTTTTTGTTTAGCTGCATATCAACACATCTATGGGTTATTTAATGCCGAAATCTAAATATTTTGTGTACAATTTTATTATACATTTTGGAGATAATAATGGTTTAAGATATACAAGGCTTTCCCAAGGGTACTTGCGCGTAAATGAATAAGACGAACCCTACTGAACGTGGAACTCGGCTCTCCAATTAACAATTCCTACCCATTATATTACTCGCATATCCAAGCTTACAGCAATAAGTATTCACAAGCGGTCACCCAACTAAGTACTGGCCAGGCTTGATGTTGCTTAACTTCGGTGATCATACGGGAACCAATGTTTCAACGTGATCTGGCCGTAACCAGCTGTAGCCATCGGGGAAGCAACCGCTTTACAGTATCCCACAATGTAACAGTTCTGGGGAAACAAAAAACTGACAGAGTTGAATTACTTCTTACAAATGGAATATAAAAGGAAATGAGAATGATTCAACTGTATACGCGGAATGGTAGGTCCTAACTCTCGGCGTCTGTAAACCAATATTTGTCAAGAATATCATTAACAACAGAAGTGACAAAATGTCATTACATTTGGACGAAAAAATATATCCCCATCTATATAAATTAGCACCTACTCCCGCGTCACAAAAGATGAGGATGAGATGTCTGTGGAATATGATAAATTATTGTTATTCCTTATTATCCCTGTTATAGACTCTTGTGGAATATTTTGACAAATCCTTACCACACTAAGGTTTGCTGCTGTTCAAACAAGATTTTTTTTACCGATTTGATTTACTCGTCCCAACACACTAGTTTCGAATTCTGACTTATTTTTTTTTAAGAATTCTCAACCAAAGCTAGATAGCAAAGTCTACCTTACTATAAAACCGAAGCTTGGTGAAGAAAAGCTTGATTCATACGTTTCCAAGTTTATTCGTACGAAAAAGAAAAAAAAGAGGAAAGAAGAGAAAAAAGAGGAAAAAAGAGAAAAAGAGAAAAAAGGAAAAAAAGAAAAAAACGAAAACGAGAAAAGGAAAAAGAGAAAAAAGAGAAAAAAGAGAAAAGGAAAAAGAGAAGAAGGAAAAAGATAAAAAGAAAAAAGAGATAAAAAGATAAAATAAAAAAGGAGAAAAAAAAAGAAGGAGAAAAAAGAAAAAAAGAAGAAGAAAAAAGAAGGAGAAAAAGGAAAAAAAGAAGGAGAAAAAAGAAAAAAAGAAAAAGAAAAAAGAAAAAAAAGAAGGAGAGGAAAGAAAAAAAAAGAAGCCACGTCATCGGCTAGAGTTTGAACTCGATAACACAATAACATTTTCAATGTTCATAAACCGTTACGCTACCCACTCATCTTGTTCAAATGTAACGAACGTCAAATGTTTTTCAAAGATAGAATCACCATTAGTCATGTGAAAATGCCGCTATGAAAAGAATTCTTTCAATTTTTAAATTAGGGAAATCTGGAAAAAGTATGGAAAATCTAAATCAAATTTTACTAAGAAATGTTTCATCTTGAAATATTTTGGAAGGATGAAGAAGCTACACTGATATCAAGTCGCCTACGTACGAATAGTAAATGAATTCAGTAAACATACAAACATAGAAAGCGGTGTAAGACAAAGATGTGCTTTCTCAGCGAACCTATTCGACCTATACCGTGAGGCGATTCCGAGAGCATTATAAGTCATAAAAGCATTCATTGTTGGCGGTCACAATCTTATCAACAGGATATATGCAGATGGCAATGTTGAGAGCGGACACAAAAAGGAAACTACAAGAACTACCGAAGTAGACGAAGGAAAGCGAAAAGAAATGAATAAAACATCAACTGCAAGAAGATAGAATGCATGGTTGTTGGCAATAGGGACAGCCCAGCATGCAAATTGCAAACTGAAGATACCAAAATGAAGCAAGCACAACAATGTAAATATCTGGGAAGTGTTTTATTGGAGGACCGAAATCCGAATATCCATTGGGATAGCGAAAGATGCCTACCAAAAGGCCAAGTAAAATATGAAAGTCAATTATGTGCCATGCGTGATACATTCTTAGGCGATCATGTATCTTTCGAAATATGACTGACGAGACATTTCGGTGGGTTGCTATTTCCTTCTACGGTAGACCATTACCATCCAAGGCTATATATAGAACCCGGTCTGTCCTGCTATTTACCTATTTACTATGGTGGGAATGTGGAGAAGAAGAGGCTTCATAATACCAAGGATATTATCACGTAAGTCAATGTAATGGATTCGACTGGAAATCGAATTCGGCTTTCCGATTCCTCAATCTGATTTTTTCTTCTCTTTTTCCTTTTCTCTTTCTTCTCTTTTTTCCTTTTCTCTTTCTTCTCTTTTTTCCTTTTCTCTTTTTTCTCTTTTTCCTTCATAGAAGCCTGTGTTAAACTGTTTTGGAATAGGGGACAAATTGCGTGTTGCTGTAGACAAAACATTGCCTTGTGAACCATGCGTCTTATAGGTAAATATTACCACCGTAGAAACAGAAATTTCGTTAGAAACAGTGAAAAGACTACTGAAGTGTTATGTAATATCAGTACTCGTATATGGAAGTGAATGCTTGGCAATCTCTTCACAAATGAAGAAACTCGAAACAATATAAGGAAAGTGGTTTTGGAAAATTTGAAACTGATAGGAGAGGGGCAGCAAAAAACGGCGTATAACCTACCTAATGAACTTATGAAAATGAATGGCAAAACAGAGTTTAAGAGAGAGAATAAAAAGACAAAATTTATTACCAGCTACAAAGGACACGGAATTATGGAGAGCCATAATCGATAACGTCGTGAAGGAGCATAGCGTATAGAATAAGAAGATAACAAGCTGTTACTGGAATACAGTGGATTTCGACAATTACCCGCTCTTAAAATTAGGCAAGACAATGTGTGCAATTCTGTTCTAAATCATTCGTTAAGAGTGTATCATTTTGCATAACGCCAATGCAAGCTACCACCTAGTAAAATAGACTCAAAGAAAAAACAGGATTAATATTTTCATTTTTTTACGTTTTTTTTTTTTTGCTACTAAAATGGAACTTACTGAAGTCAAACTTTTTTCTACCAAAATAATGAAATACCGGGTGACATATGTTAACATACATTTTTCATTTGCTTATTGTATTTTTTCTGTTTCTCAGCGTTTCATTTGGTCAAAAGAGAAGCCATGTTTTTCGTTTAAAAAACATGCGAAGAAATCATTGTTGTTGTTGGGAAGACTAACGTGTAATTGGAATCTTGGACGTTTAGACTTAGAAGTTGAATGACAAGCTTTGCTAAAAGGGGGAGGCGTGAAACAAGATTAATACTTATTTATTTTTATAAATTTTAGTATCTTGGTCACGTCGACGTCGTATGATGATTGGCAAGCTTATCTTGCGAGATAAATTTTTGTTTTTAAACATTTCCCACCAAGCAAGACAACAACGCCACTAAGATGCGAGGGGTTAATGACTCTGAAAGGACATAAAAAGAAAACATTAACGAGCAAGAACAATAAAAATATAAGATGGAAGATAACGACTGACAATGAATTTAAATCTTTGAAGATCAATGTTGACTGGAAAGCAAGAAGATGAAAAAGAGATCCACAATTTCAGAATCAATAGCATTTCATACTCATCTTTGGATTTTATCTAGAATTTCTAAATACATAGCAGAAGCACTAGATCTGATGTAACAGCAATATTCAATGCATTATCAAATGGTAGACTTATAAATATGTAAAATAGATTCTGGCGAGAAAAATTGTCTAAAATGACAAAGTGAACCAATTTTCCTAGCAACGGATCTAGCAATATAATTTATCCAATTTTTCCAGCGGAAATAACGGGAGATATATTAAAATGGTTTATTATATTTATTTATTTTAGAACTTATTTTTTTTAAACTGTGGAAAAACAAACAAACTCATATGCAATAAGTAATGCCTTTCAACCAAGTTGTTGTTGTTCAGGAAATTAATAGTGGGCCAATTCGAGGAGGGCTCAAAAATAGAAAATTAATAGTGGGCCAATTCGAAGAGGGCTCAAAAATAGAAAATTAATAGTGGGCCAATTCGAAGAGGGCTCAAAAACAGAAAATTAGTAGTGGGCCAATTCGAAGAGGGCTCAAAAATAGAAAATTAATAGTGGGCCAATTCGAAGAGGGCTCAAAAATAGAAAATTAATAGTGGGCCAATTCGAAGATGGCTCAAAAATACAAAAAATTAATAGTGGGCCAATTCGAAGAGGGCAAAATAGAAAAAAATGGGCCAATTCGAAAGGGGCTCAAAAAACAGAAAAATTAGTAGTGGGCCAATTCGAAGAGGCCTCAAAAAATAGAAAATTAATAGTGGGCCAATTCGAAGAGGGCTCAAAAAATAGAAAAATAGTGGGCCAATTCGAATGGGCTCAAAAATAGAAAATTAATAGGGCCTGAAAGGGCTCAAAAATAGAAAATTAGTATTGGGCCAATTCGAAGAGGGCTCAAAAATAGAAAATTAATAGTGGGCCAATTCGAAGAGGGCTCAAAATAGAAAATTAATAGTGGGCCAATTCGAAGAGGGCTCAAAACAGAAAAAAAATTCGAATAGGGCTCAAAATAGAAAATTAATAGTGGGCCAATTCGAAGAGGGCTCAAAATAGAAAATTAATAATGGGCCAATTGAAGATGGCTCAAAATACAAAATTAATAGTGGGCCAAGAAGAGGGCTCAAAAACAGAAAATTAATAGTGGGCCAATTCGAAGAGGGCTCAAAAAACAGAAAATTAGTAGTGGGCCAATTCGAATAGGGCTCAAAAATAGAAAATTAATAGTGGGCCAATTCGAAGAGGGCTCAAAAACAGAAAATTAATAGTGGGCCAATTCGAAGATGGCTCAAAAATAGAAAATTAATAGTGGGCCAATTCGAAGAGGGCTCAAAACTAGAAAATTAACAGTGGGCCAATTCGATGAGGGCTCAAAAATAAAAAAAAATAGTAGTGGGCCAATTCGAAGAGGGCTCAAAAATTGAAAAATTTAAGAGCAACGCAAACAATGGCAGCTGTCGCAAAACTAAATCCATCTATAAAAAAAGTAACAAAAAAGCAGGAACATCTGCTTGAAATCAAAGATCAAACTGTTACGTTCATAGGGTTTTTCCATCCCTCTGTATATTTGCGAACCTTGGACATTACACTGAAGAATTCAAGCATTAGAAATTAGATGCTCCCAAATCATTCTAGGCATCTACATATCCCGCAACAGAATTCATAGAAGCCTGTGTTAAACTGTTTTGGAATAGGGGACAAATTGCGTGTTGCTGTAGACAGAACATTGCGTTGTGAACCATGAGTCTTATAGGTAAATATTACCTAATATTTTTTAAATGACACTTTCAAATGTCACACATTTTGATAATTTTTTTTAATGTCTTTCTACCGCAACCATATTCGCATAGCAATTTTCTTCAAAGAAAGCTATATTCTTTTTGTGCCCAGCGGTTGCAAATTTTCTAATTCACATCTAAGCTTTGGCTTACCAGACGGAAACTTATTTCGATTTCACTTCTCAGAAAGGGAATTGTACGTGACCATAATCAATCCTAATTGGAATAGATTGCTCGTGTCTATTGTTGTCTTGCTGCCTACCTTGGCTTCTCTGGGGGAACATTTCTTTGCGGTAAATCTACACTCGGACATTCTAAAACGGGTGGGTTACGGAGCCAGACCACTACTCATTCAGTACATTAATATATCTTAATAAAAATAATTGTAGCAATTTACTTCATAGATCAGAATCTTTCCGAAAATCAATAAGAATAACAAAGATTTACTCTTCTTTTTTCTTATGTGATATTTCGAATATTAAAAAAAAAGAAGATTTAGTACATGTAAAAAAAATAGCTTACCCGTTATTAAAATAAATTAAGATAAAAAAAAATTAATAAAAACGATTTCAATTATTTAAGAATTAGAAATAAAAATAGAATAGAGAAAGCGAAAGTAGAAAAGCAGCAGCTGGTTACGCATGAAATCATGTGACTGACTCAAGCGTGCGTAAAGGGAAGTGAAAGTAGCCGTTGATGATCCGATGTCAGTTAGGTTATTCTTTACGAGTTTGAATGCATGGACAGTGAAGAGATGCTTTAGAGAGAAAAAGAGAAAAAGAAAGAAAACGAGAAATAAAAAGAAAAAGAAAGAAAAGAGAAGAAAGAGAGAGAAAAAGAAAAAGAAAGAAGGAAAGAAAGAAAGAAAGAGAAAAAGAGAAAGAAAGAAAGAGAAAGAATGAGAAAAAGAGAAAAAAAGAAAGAGAAAAAGAGAGAAAAAAGAATGAGAAAAAGAGAAAAAAAAAGAGAAAAAGAGAAAAAAACAAAGAGAAAAAGAGAAAAAAACAAAGAGAAAAAGAGAAAA